CACCCGGAAGAGCGCAGTGATAATACCAACATGGGCCAGTGAGGGGACGTCCTCCACAACTAAACTGAAGAACCAAAGATCAGCAACTTGTCTGCTCCCCTTCCCTGATTCCCCAACACTGTTCCCCTCCTCTCCCAATTCCCCAATAAAATCTTTAAAAAAAAAAGAAAAAGAAAAAACTTCATTCAGAAAGTATCATTAAATTACAAAGTAAGGGGCCGGCCGAGTGGCGCAATGGTTAAGAACTGGCTTGGGATGCCAGAGGGCCCGGTTCGGATCCCACATATGAGGGCCAGTGACACTGCCCTCTACAGCTAAGATGCTGAACAACAGCTCAACCTGGAGCTGGGCTGCCGTGGGTCGCTGGCGATGGCATAGGCTGCAGCCCCTGTTGCAGTGGGTTGCCATGGGCTACCGTGTGTAAGCCAGCAGCCAGTGTGAGCGGCCAGCAGCCGCAGTGAACTGCCGTCCAGAAGCCGGCGACTGATCTGCCTTGCCCGGCAAGAGCCAACTTGGGCCAGTGAAGCAACGTCCTCTACAACTAGATTGAAGAACAGAGGGACAGCAACTTGTCTGTTCCCCTTCCCCCAATTCCCCAGCGCTGTTCCCATCCCCCCAATTCCCCAATTAAAAAAAAAATTACAAAGTAGGAATTAATGTAAAAGTAGAATTTGACTAATTATGTTAAAATAATGATCTAGTTAAAAGATGCCAAGACTTTTAAAAGATATTAAAACATTTTTTGTTTCAGATTCTTACGCCATGTGTGCTATTATTTATTCTTTCATTGTTTCGGGGTTTTTTTTATTGCATTTAATGGGCAGAGGTAACCTGTTTATTTGGCAGTGCTTATGGGAGCATAGAAAGTTAAAAATTTGTAAGCATACATATTTCAATGAAACTTTAAAGAATGAGGCTTAAAAAATGATAATTAACCAAAGAACTATGTTCTTTATCAATGAATGGCATTTCTAGAATGGTCACATTAAGAAGTAACATTGAGGTATGTGGTATAATGAAAAAATTATAAACAGTTAAGTTTTGATTAGATTCTTTTTATATTTTATTTATTGCTTTAGAATTTCATATTCCTAACAGTTTTTATGGGGGATTCTTTTACCAACACATTTCTTATCTGGATTTTGATAGATTAATTCATAAAAACCTCATGTTTTCCCATCTTATTTTACTAGGCAGAGATGACAGTTGAAACATAAGTTGGTAGACTGCAGACAACATAAAAGTATACTCTCAAAATACCCTATGAGGTAGAAGTTGTCCTAGAACCAAAACACGAAGCATGTGAAATATTTGAAAAAAACTTAAAGATGCTCTTCTTACTTATTGTCTAGTGCATGCAATTTTTGTAGGTTTCTCACAGTACTTGTGAAATTCTTTATTAGCATTTTTTAAAAACAAAGACTGGAAATTGTTAGGTATCATTAAACCGTTCTTTACATTGCTAAGAATTATCGTTTCTGTTTGATACCTGTTTAATAATGTTTACAGTAGACTCTTCAGTAGGTTGAATTTCTTTATTGTTAAGACCTTCAAACCTTTTTAGAGAAATTTCCAAGTTGAAGGGTAATGTTGCCAAACCCACTAGGCTGGTTTTGATACCAGGTTCTGCGGTTTCGTTAGGTTAATGTGACTTCTCTAGATGCCTTAGTGATTCTGTAATTGAGAGATAGAGTTGTATGGCACTGTTTTAGGCACTTGAGATATATCGGTGAGTAAACCAAAAATGCCTGCCCTTGTGGCGCTTATGTTATAGTTAGGGACAGTAAAACTATAATGAACAAGTAGGTTATATAATATGTTAAGAGGTGGTAAGTACTATGCAAAGTGTATAACGGATAAAAGGGGGATTGGGTGAGTATATGTGGGGACAGGTTACAATTTCGTCACGACAGGAAAAAGCCTCATTAACAAGGTGATGCTTGAGCAAAGACTTGAAGTAGGTAGGGGATTTTTATTTTTATTTCTGGTAAGGGATTTTTAGTTCTGAGTACCTGGGAGACAAGTGTTCCAGGCCTGGGAATAGCCAGTGCAGTAGGTCCTAAGGTGGTAGTATACTGGAAGATCTAGGAAGACAAGGAGGTCTGGTCGGCGAGGCATGAGTGGACTGAGCAAGGGGGAGAGTGCAGAAGATGAGGTCTGAAAGATGGCAGGGTGGTGGTGGTGGTCATAGCACAATAGATTGTGGAGGGCCTTATAGACCATTATAAGGGATAGAAACTTGGAAGGAGAAATGAAATTGGTAGATGATGTTAAATGAATTAGGGTTCCAGCAATGGAGACCTGGTGGCAGGTGAGTTAGGGGAAATTGTGGGTTTCCATGGTGCAGGAAAGGTGGTGATGGGAAAGATATTCCAAAATTTCTGTTTATATTGGGTTGTCGGAAAAGTCATGCGCATTTTTGCAATGAAAAACAGAAAAAATACGTCATGACTTTTCCGGCAAACCAATAGATTTAGACTTTGAGGTTATATGATTTTGTGCGTTTGTGGGGTGTATACGTGTGGAGAGAGGCATATATATTTTTTATTGTTGCTTCACTATTTTTTGTTTCCTTCTCTTAATGTGTCTAGTTGTGTTGTTTGATGTATAATAGCCTTAATTTAAGCCTAAAAAGTGATGCAAGAAAGTGAGGAGGCTTTTCGTGAAAAGCGTTTTAAACAGAATATTAACATTTCAAAAACATTTGTCCAGTCTGTAAATACTGCCGTATTATGTGATGACATATGTAACAATGTCACGGTTGTGGACTAGATATATCCAATCAACTTTTTAAAAGATACATAATACTAAAATGTATAATTTGAAGACAATTTTATTTCCCGTATGTAGACTTTGCCATGCTTTTTCTGGTCTACTTTATTCCTGTAGCTATGTTAGAAATTCTAAAAGTTGAATACAGCACAGAACATATAATAGTGAATAGCAGTGTAATGCAGATAGTTTTGCTTTACTTTGCCTGTATTTGATAATGTCTGTCACAGTATAGTCATGTACTGCTGCAATGATGGAGATCACATTTACAACCTTATTACCATAAAGTTATAACGGAGCTGAAAAATTCCTATGGCCCAGTGGTGCCCAAAGGTCCTAACAGTCCTAATGTCCTAGGGTAACACATGACACCAATACTTACCATTGTGTTACAGTTGTCCCCAGTATTCAGTACAGTACCATGTGTGCAAGCTTGTAGCTTAGGAGCTGTAGGGGAACAATTTATCACCCCAAAATATGTCTATTTGGCATAAGAATTATTTTAGGCTGGTTAATTTTAAGAAATTGCAGACTTGGGAGAAGCTCTGAAAACCAAGTAGAAGTAACTGTAAAAGAAGTTTACATTTGTAAGGGAGGGTGGGTGATCTTTATCTCTAGAAACTCTTATTAATTCCCTTGATTACTGTGCTTTCCCTGGTAAACTTCCATAACTGACTTCCCCCAGCCATGTCTTCTTTTGTCTTCAGTAAAGATGGTATTTAAGGTGGTGGCTTCAGCCATTTTGGCGAGTTACCCAGCTTTCCTGGGTCTCCCATGTATACGGGAGGTATACATGTTATTAAACTTTTGTTTCTGTTTCTCCTGTTATTATAATCTATCTTTTATTACAGTGATGTGTCAGTCAAGAACCCAGAAGGGTAGAGGGGAAATTATTTTTCCTCCCCTCCACAGCAGTAGGCTATAGTATATACACACTGTCTAGTCTGGGTATGTAGTAGGCTGTGCCGTCTAGGTTTGTGTAAGTCACTCTGATGTTTGCATAATGAAATTGCCTAACAACACACTGCTCAGAACATATCCCTGTTGTTAGTGGCACATGACTTTAGTAAACTTTATGGCTTTTATTATCTTTTTGATATTGTCACTATAAAACATATGTATTTAAAAGTAGTTTTACATAATTGAGAAGTATGGCATATATGCTCTTTTGAATGTCTGGGAACAAAACTTAGAGGCAGGCAATTAAGAACTTAGTAGAAATAAATTATTTTAAAACAGATTTTTTTGTTTGTTTCTAACTAGTAACTAGTGTAGCAACAAAGCTACTGACCAGCTTAGGACTAGAAAGTGCTGAATTATCAGAAGACTGTAGTGTTTGTAATCCCTTGATAAAATTATATAAACACAACTTTGAATTAATATACTTAGTTATTTTCTACAGATTTAAAGTTTCCTTAATTCTTCTGCTTTTGTAGCTTTATTTGCCAGATATTTCTTGAGCCCTAAAAATGTGTCAGGACTGTTATGTAAAATGCTTTATTATTTCTGAATAAAAAAATGTATTTGGCCTATTCTTTGTTTCTAATGAAATTTCAGCTTTTAATCTTCATTATCTCCATTTCATATTCCAGGAAAAAATACTCAGTTACATAAAGAAAATTGCGGCCAATATCAATGCAGTGTTAACATAGGGTGTTAATTTTCTGTATCAATCTTGGCTAAAAGCTTATTATAGCATGACATTTAAAACATATCTATGGACCATTGTAGCATTATTAAATACCTTTGCTTTGAAATTTTTAAATATTTAATATTTTTGTATTTTCAGAAACTATATTAATATATTTAGACGTTTGAGCTGAGTGAAATGTTAATGTGGGATTTTGTCAAGAAATAAATGGTACTATTTGAGTAATGGAGAATAGCAACATAAGATTTAGTGTGTTTCCTATTTTAAGTTGTTTAAGAAAATTCTAGATTATTGCCCTGATTTTAAAGAAATCTTTATTCTCAATTAGAAGTTAAATTTGAAAAAGTCCAATTAGTGTTCAGGTCATTTTTTCTTATCCTGGTGATATCATTCAGCACTGATAGATAGGTCATGAAGTGTTAGTTGCTACTAATTTGATTTAATCCAGCAACATCTATGATGGAAATCATTTTGTTAGATTTAGCACATTTAAATATAACTGTTTCACCCGACTTTAAGAATATGTCTAATCCTTATTCGTTTGGTGGATAACCTGTATTTTTTTGTACTTTTGTAGGATAGAGAGAGGAATCAGCAGCTTGGAAATTCAGCCAAGTGATCTGGCGGGATGGGCATTTGCCTGACATACTTTATAGAGGTAATCCAACACTGTTTTACTCAATTTTAATTTTTTTTTACCTGTGTTAGATGCCCATGTACCTGCCCATGAACACATATATAACAACTGCATTTACTGGACAATCCCTTTTCCTTTTGTACCCACTATATCTAGCATGAATATTACACATACATAGCATGATATTGCTGTATATAGATATAAACATCGGTACATTGAAATGAATTAATGTTATTAGTTTTATAGGGTGAAGACCATTATCTTCTCTCACTTAACTAGATTACTTGTCTTGTTCCCTTATTTTAGGAAAAGAGGTGATCCTTCTTTCTTGTTAGCTTGAGTTGACGTGCATGTATTGGATCTGTGCTTTTATCTTTCAAAGTGAAAGAAAAATATGTAACAGTTTTCAGGGTATTTACATCATCTGTGACACACATTCTCATGTCGATTATTAATGGTCATAAAAATTGTAAAGTTTCTCATAAATGTTATTTGAGAATTCTTTTAAAACAAGGATGTGAAAAGATTAGCAGTTTAGTTACTGTATTTTCAGATTTTCTTCTTTTTCACATCTTCTGGTAATTGTCATGTTCAACATTTCTCACTCTTTACCAAGGCTTATTATAAGAGGAGTACACTCTTAAGCAGTAGAGAATGTTATGAGGTAAAAAAAAAAAAAAAAGGCGGCTTTCCTTATTCCCATTCACTGTTAACACACGTGCGTGTGTGTATCCTTCCAGACATTTGCTATGCATATGCAAGCATTTACATCTATGCCTGTATTTACATATTCATTGTATAAATGAGGTCATACCATACATATTGTTCAGCAACATGTCTTTTTTGTTGTTGGCTAATATATCTTTGCATATCATTCCTTCTTACTTCATTCAGTGTTAATATTCCAATATTTGGATGTACCATAATTATTTGAACCAGGCACTCTTTTATCGTTATTTAGGTTTTTATGTTTTTGCTGAAATGGTAATATGGTAAATATTCTTGGGTACGTCTTTGTACATATTTTAAAATACATTTGCAGTATGAATTTCTAAGGGAAAAATTATTGGGCCAAAGAGTGTGTATGTTTAGTAATTTGGTGGATGAATTGCCTGACTAAAAAGATTGCCCCAATATCAGTGGTCTAGGAAAATGTGAATCTCTATTCCTTTGACAACACTAGCTAGGTCAAGCTTTTTAATATTTGTTAGTTTTTTGTTGTCCGGCATTGCTTTTCAAAATTTCATTATGAGTGAGTTTGAGCATTTTTTCACATTATTATTGGCCATATGTATATTTTCAGTGATTTTTTTGGTTGTATGTTGAGTCTCCTATCATTTTTTAGGCAAGTTATTTTCACTGAGTTTTTGCTTATATTTTGATTTTGTTTTTGTTTTTGCTTTATGGGAGTTTTAATTTTTTCTGCTTCAATTTAGCTTTTACCTCATGGCTGGGGGTGGGAAGGTTTCTGTGTAAGGTTTAAAGGTCTTCATTATTGATTGTAGGACTGACAGTTCCCTCCACATTATAACATTTCTAAATGACATGATTCGCTGGTTTGTCATAGTTTGACATTATTATTTTCTTTTTAAGTGACATATAAAAGAGTTGTGTATCTTAAGATTGGTAGTTTTAGATTCAGGGAATATTGTACTTGAATAAAAGTTATGTAGGGTTTCTATTTTTGTGGTTTAAAGTGTTTAAAATTTTGATTTATATGGAAATATATTTAGTATAAGCAATGGATGTAGAGATCCATCCAGCTTTACTTTTTTCCAGATGGCTAACCAGTTGTCCCCATTCCAATTATTGAATGATGTATTTATTTTTTACATATTTGAAATGCCACATTTATCATATTACTAAAATTTCATGTTAGAGCCGGGGGCTGTTTCTGAAATAATTCCATTCAATTCACCTGCCTGCCTGTTTTTGTATTGATAGTATTAGAGTTCGGCAGAGGAACTGCTTATAAAGTTAATATATATAAATAATTTTTTATACAAATAAACATCAAGACTAATAATAGAAGAAAGGGTATATATTTACAATAACAAGTAAAAAGATAACATGCCTCAGCACAATCTCCTTGAAAAAAATTTTGAAGCTCTACTGAGGGATAAGAAAGAAAATTTGAATCGATTCAAATTTTTGTTAGGAAGATATGCTATAAAGCTGTCATTTCACTATAGAAATACAATTGATTTCTGTTTATTGATCTAATATCTTGTGACCTTGCTGAACTCATTTATTCTTACAGCTTTTTTGTGGGTTCATTGGGAAATTTCTACATACAGGATCACTAGAGTTTTATTTCTTCCTTTCTAATCTGGATGCCTTTAGTTGCTTCATTTGTTTTTGCCTGCTTTACTTGACTAGCTACTACTTCAGTGTTGAATAGAAATGGTTAAAACAGACATCCTGACTTTTAGGAGGAAAACATTAAATATGGTGTTAGTTGTGAGTGTTTTGTAGATGCCTTTTATCGAGTAGAGGAAGTTCTCTTCTATCTAGTCTTAGTTTGGTGAGTTTTTATCATGAATGGGTATTGAGTTTTGTCAGATGCTTTTTTTCTGTGTCTATTGGGATAACCATGTAGTTTTTGTCCTTTATTCTCTTTATATGGTATATTACATTAATTGATTTTTCAGATGTTAAACCAACTTTACATTCATGGGGCAAATCCTACTTGGTCTTCATGTATAGGCCTTTTTATATGTTGTTGGATTCAATTTGCTGATACTTTGAGAGATTTTAGTATCTGTGTTTATTAGAGACATTGGTGTGTTGTTTTCATGTGATGTCTTTGTGTGACTTTGGTATCAAGGTAACTCTGGCTTCATTGTTTAAGTTGCAGACTGTACCCTCTTCCTGTGTTTTGTGAAGGAGTTTATGTGCTATTTCTTCCTTATGTATTTGATGGAATACACCAGTGAATCCATTTGAGCCTGTCTTCATTTATTTATTTTTGTGTGGCAAGATTTTTAAATTGTTTATTTGTCATGTTCAGATTTTTCTATTTCCTCTCTAGTCTTTTTTTTTTTTCCTTTTTAAAGAAATTTTATTGGGGAACAGTGTGTTTTTCCAGGACCCATCAGCTCCAAGTCAAGCCATATCTTTCAGCCTAGTTGTGGAGGGCTGAGTTCCTTGGCCCATGTGGGAATAGAACCAGCAGCCTTGGTGCTATGAGCCTGCGCTCTAACCATCTGAGCTAACCGGCTGCCTCATCCTAATCTTGATAGTATGGGTCTTGATTAGTAATTTGTCCATTTCATACAAATTGTCTAATTTGTTGGCATAAATTTATTTATAATATTACTTCCCTTATATAATTCTTTCCGAAAATTTTTTTATGGAGATATAATTAACATATAACTGTATTAATTTCAGGTCCTTAGAATACTTCAATTTTGGGAGATCAGTGGTAATGTCCCCTCCTTCATTCCTGATTTTGGTAATTTGTGTTTTTTTCCTCTTTGATCTTGGTCAGTCTACCTAAGAGTTTTTTTATTAAAAAAAGAAAGTTTTTCTCTTAGTTCTCTATTTTGTATTTCATTAATGTCTGCTCTTTTATTATTCCCTTTCATCTGCTCACTTTAGGGTTTAGTTGGCTTTTTTTCTGTTTTATTAAGATGGGGGCTTATATTATTGATTTGAGGCTCTTTTTAAAAATCTATACTTAAAGTTACAAATTTCCTTCTAATAACTGCTTTAGCTGCATCCCATAAATTTTGGTATGTTTGTTTGCATTTTCATTCAGTTACAAATATTCTCTAATTTCTCTTTTAATTTATTCTTTGACCCATATGTTGTTTAGAAGTGTGTGAAGTTTAATTTCCAAACACTTGAGGATTTTCCAGTTTCTAATTTAATTCTGTTAGGTTTGGAAAGCACACTTTGTATGACTTCAATTCTTTTAAATATATGAGACTTGTCTTATGGCCTAGCATTTGGTCTGTCTTGGAGAATATTCCATGTGTTCCTGAAAACAAATGTATACTGTTGTTTGAGTTTTCTATATATGTCAGTTAAGCCTAGGTGATTGATAGTGTGTTTCAAGTTTTCTGTATCTTTGCTAATTTTCTGTGTAGTTACTGTATCAATTATTTGGAGTCAGGTGTTGAAATCTTCCACTGTTATTGTCTAATTTTCTATTTTTTCAATAATGTTACTGCTTCATAATTTTGGGGCTTTGTTTTTAGGTGCATATACATTTATAATTGTTATAATACCTTCCTGATTTATTGACTCTTTACCATTATGAAATATCTTTCTTTGTCTCCAGTAATATGTGTCTTAAAGTCTGTTTTGTCTAATATTAATATAACTATTCCAGCTCTCTTATGGTTACTGTTTTCATAGTGTATCTTTTTTTCCCATCTTTTTACTTTCAGTCTTGAATGTAAAATGTCTCTTGTTGACAGCATATAGTTGTTTTATTGTCCAGTCTGACAGAGTCTGCCTTTTCTTTGGTCTGTTTAGACCATTCACATTTAATGATAGACATGGTTGGATTTATATTTGCCATTTGTCTTTTATGTCTCTTAGGGTTTGTATTCCTCTGTGCCTCCTTTACTACCTCCTTTTGTGTTAAATATTTTTTAGTGTGCCATAGTAATGACTCCATTGATTTTTTTTTTTTAACTAAATGTAATGGAAGATAGTTTCTTTGTGGTTGCTGTAGGGTTTACAATATGCATTTTATCAGTCTGCTTGACATTAACACTAACTCAGTATCAGTAAAATATAGAAACTTTGCTCTAATAATAGCTCCATTTTCTCCCTCCTCTGTTGTGTCACTATTGTTATATATATATATTGCACTTATATATGCTATAAATCCAGCAATACAATGTTATAATCATTGCTTTGTACATTTTTGTCTTTTAAAGGTATTAAGAGAAGAAATGAGAAAAATATACAGTCATGCGTTGTTTAATGATTGGGATACTTTTATAGATGTGCCATTATGCAATTTCATTGTTGTGCTAACATCAGAGTGCACTTACACAAACCTAGACGGCATAGCCTACTACACACCTAGGCTTTATGGTATAGCTTATTGCTCTTAGGCTGTAGACTTGTACAGCACGTTCCTATACTTAATGTTGTAGGCAATTATAATACTTTGTGCTACATTAATGATAGCTACAATCTCACTATGCAGTTTTTCAGTTCCATATAATCTTATGGGACCATTATCGTATATGTTGTCCGTCATTGATCGAAACATTGTGTTTGGTGTGTGAGTGTATTTATACTGTTTTATTGTGTGTTTATTTTGTTTGCTTTTTAGCTGAGCCATCCCGCCACTTGTTAGCAGCTCAGCTCAGGCCGGGAATTGAACTGCTGTTGCTCAGAGCTCGCACTCTTGAGCGAGCTCTTAACCAACTGAGCCATTCGGCCGGCCCGTGTATTTATACTCTTTAACCAACACATTCACTGTTTCTGGTGTTTTCTTTTCTTCCTGTGTATTTGAGTCTGGTGTCTTTTCCTTTCTGCTTATGGACTTCCTTTAGTAATTCTTGTTTGTCAGGTCTGCTAACAAAAAATTCTGTCAGCCTTGATTTATCTGAGACCATATTGTGCCTTCATTTTTGATGGATAATTTTGCTATCTTCTTGGTTGACAGCTTCCCCCACCCCCAGCACTTTCAATATGTAATTACACTGTCTTCTGGCTTCTGTTGTTTCTGATCAAAAGTCAGCTCTTAATCGTGTTGATGGTTCCCTGCACATACTTAGTAATTTTTCTCTTCATGCTTATAAGATTTTTCTCTGTGTTTGCTGTCAACAGTTTGACTATGATGTGTCTAGGTATGGTTCTCTTTGTATTAATCCTATTTGAAATTCATTGAACTTCTAAGACCTGTAGATTTGATTTCTTTAAAAAAGATCAAATTTGGTACTTTTGGGCTCGTAGTTTATTAAAAAAATTTTTTTTCCTGCCTCTTCCTCTCTTTCTCCAGAAATGATGGTAAGTTGGTTTCTGAAGCTCTCTTCACTTTTCTTCAACCTTTTTTCTCTTTGTCCTTCAGATTGGATAATTTCTACTGATGTGTCTTAAAGGGCATTGATTTTCTTCTGCCATCTTGAGTCCACTTCTGAGCCCTTCTAGTAAATTTTTTGTTTTTGTAACTGTACTCTTCAACTTTAGAATTTACACAGAATTCTTTTATATAATATCTGTAACTTTATTGAGAATCTATTTGTTGATTTAGTGTTTTCATAATTAAAAAATTTAAAACGTGGGTTCTTTTACTTCTTTTAACATATCTATAATAGATGTTTTGAAATCTTTACTTAAACCAACATCTGGGGATACTCAGAAACAGTTTGTAGTGACTGCTATTTTTCATTAATATGCGTCCCATTTTCCTTTTTAAAAATATACATCTTGTAATATATTGTTGAAAACTGGGCATTTTATTTTATTTTATTTTAAAGATTTTTATTGGGGAATTGGGGATGGGAACAGTGCTGGGGAATTGGGGGAAGGGGAACAGACAAGTTGCTGTCCTTTTGTTCTTCAGTCTAGTTGTGGAGGACGTTGCTTCACTGGCCCAAGTTGGCACCATCATTGCACTCTTCCCGGGCGAGGCAGATCAGTCGCTGGCTTCTGGATATCCGCTCACTGCGGCTGCTGGCCGCTCACGCTGGCTGCTGGCCACACACGGTAGCCCATGGCAACCCACTGCCACAGGGGCTGCAGCCTACGCCGTCGCCGGCGACTCACGGCAGCCCAGCTCCAGGTTGAGCTGTTGTTCAGCATCTTAGCTGTGGAGGGCAGTGTCACTGGCCCTCATATGTGGGATCCGAACCGGGGCCCTCTGGCGTCCCAAGCCAGTTCTTAACCATCGCGCCACTCGGCCGGCCCAGAAAAACTGGGCATTTTAGATAATAAATTGGGGCAACTCTGATTGTGACTTTCCCCTTCCCCCACCCAGGTTATTGTTACTGTTATCATTTCACTATTGTTTATATATGATACAATCCTATTGAAAGAAAATAAATTTTATTTTGGACCAGAAGTTATCTGCAAAAGTAGACATGCATGAATATCCAGAAAAATTCTGAAATGGAAGTGTACTGAGGGGCGAAAAGCTCCATCACAATTTAAAGTTTTTAAAAATAAAGATACAGTGTTGAAATGTTTTTAAAAGGTGAATTTGTATTATGTTTTCTGAAGTTCAAAGATGCAATTATTACTGATTTGTTCTAGGTGAGAAAGACTATTCTTACTGCCTTTGCACTCTTGTAAAAATTGATATAAAATCATAAGATGTTTCATATATCATCTGGTCTTCAGGCTTCCTGTGAAAGAGTACATATAAACTATTCTTGATAGATAGGAATCTGATATTTTTAAAGACCTCTATGATAGGAATTCCCATAAACTCTTTTAGTCTGTTACTGTGCTTAGATATACTCACTGTCAGAAAGTTTCCTTCTTGTGTATAGCTGATGTTCTCCATTTTTGGTGGGGGGGGTATGGTACACAGTCTCCCTATGATTATTCCCATCTTTTTGTCAGCTTTTCCTGTCAAAGATGACTTTGCTAATTATGTTTCTGTAACTATGTATTTAATATGATTTTACAACTGTAACCTTTTCTATTGTGAATACACTAGTATTCTAGTTCTATTTGTTATTGCAAGGCCTGGCATTGTGTTTTCTTCTTTCTTTGTAGACTTTACAAAGCAGATACGAATAGTGTTATTATTCAGTGATTTCTTAGTCTTTGTTTTCTCTTTTCTAAACTTTTAGGTCTGTAACCCTCTCAGTGTTTTTCAACGTCCCATGTCTCTGAAGCCGTAGACTTCAGATCTAGACACATTATTCTTTATAAGGCCAGGGTTATATCACAGTTACTGCTTACCACTATTCTGTTTCTCCAGTTTCAGACTGAAAAGCAAGTCATTGCTGTGGTCATTCATGCATAGCTTTACTATTTCCAAAGAGCGATCACTTCATTATTTATACCAGTTTCTCCAGATTGTATTTGTACAGATTTTTTCCCCTCAATAAGTAATGTGTTTTGTTTGTCGTCTGTTTTTTTCTTTGTAGGAATTGGATGGCATAAGTGAATAAGGTGGTATTGAGGGGCACTGAAACCTATGAAAGGTAGACACTCAACCATGATTTCTTTTTCAACTCAACAGCATTCCTTTCCTTGAAGTCTTCATTTTTACCTTAGTCTCAGGTAACTTCAATATTTGTTTTTCATTATCATGAATACCAGTTACTGTACATTGTACTTTATTATTATGTTTGCCTACACTAATATCAAAAAGCAGTTATGTAGGTAATTCAGTAATCGTTTATATTAGGAATATTAGTTAAAATATAGACGTGGCTACTGTGACAGAGGTTTACAGAGGTAGAAATGTATTTATTTGAAAAGTCCATGTAAACAGTCTCGAGATTTTATGGAGGCTCTAGCCATCACATGACGTAGACTTCTTTGTCTCGTTCTGCTTGCTTTTCTTAATATGTGGCTTCTGTCTTGTGGTCCAAGACGGTTACCATCATGTCTGTCAATAGGAAGAAGGAAAAGGGAAGAATATTTCCCTTTCATTTTAGGGGAGTTATGTACATCATTTCTACTCATATCCCAAGGGAGGCTGGGAAATGAGTCCTACCTAGGTCTCACTTAATATTTTATTTTTGGATGAAAAGGAGAGAACAAGTTTGGGGAAAAGGGGGACTTTGCTGTCTGTCACATTAGGGCTTATGTCAGAATTTCATTCGTCTAGTTTGGACTAATATTAAAACATAATTTTTGTTGTCCAAGATACATTAACTCTTGACCTGGAACAATACTTTGGAAATTGTGCTTATTCCAGTTCTGAGAGAATTCTATTTTTATGACTTGTCATCATGCCTCTCTGACTAAACACTGCTAGTCTTGATATCATAAAATGGAATAAGGTATTGAAAGTTAAAATTGATTTGAGAATTCCTCATTTGCTTTTACTGCCATTAGGTTGAAATGATTTGTCTAACCTTTTAATGACTGCAAGGCAAGAGGAGGGCCTTGGTGGGAGGAGTTTTTTAGCTACACATAAAGCTAAATGACTGGTAACTGGTTCCTTCTAATTATAAAAAGTCTAACTGTTTAGATATAATCAGAACATCTTATTCCCAAAGACATATAGTTTAAGTAGTTCTTTTTAGGCGAAAACTATTTCATTGCACATTACATTTTATGGTTCTTGTCCTATTGTAAATACTGTATTTTGAAACATGTATCAAATATAACCTTGGTACTTTTTAAAGAGACTTGAGATAATTAATTTTATTAAATTTGTATACTTGTATACAGCATTGTATACAGTATTTATACTAGGACTATTGATTTATTACTAAATGGTTATAAGACAGGTGTTTTTGGCATTGAAGGTGATAAATGCATCTTCAGTGCTATTGTACTTCAAAATAGGGTTTGTGTTATTAAAGCAAGAGCATTTATCTAATGTTTAAAAAATAAAAGGTTGTTGATTAAGTAGTTAACACTTCTGTAGTGAGCCTTGGTTACTATACCACTACATATTAAAAATAACTTAGGTGTTTAATGTTTGTTCATTGTATACAGGGAAGTTTGTTTTAAGAAGTATTTTTGATATTCCTTTTATTACACAAGACTGCAGAAAATTTATAGTTCCCCATAGAATAAGTATTTTTTTTTTTTTTTAAGCTGAGCCATCCTGCTACCTGTTGGCAGCTCAGCAGCTGCTCAGCTTGGGCTGGACTCGAACCGCTGTTGCTCAGAGCTCAAACTCTTGAGCGAGCTCTTAACCAACTGAGCCACTCGGCCGGCCCTAGAATAAGTATTTTTAATATTAGTGTTTGAATTGTTGGAATAAAATGTTATGGGTGAAACAACCACATCAGCAGAATATAGGGTTTTGTTTTGTTTGGACCTTTTTTATTCACCCCACCCCCACTCCTTTTTAAGATCAGTTATAGCTGTTTCTTAACAGTTTGAGTTGCCATAAATTAGATATTTGAATATTTCTAAATACCACTATTTTCTTACTGTTACATTGTTTTAGGAGACTTCGGTGATAAATATTTGAAATGTAGAATACGCTTAGATTCTGCCTTTTTGAGGGGAGCTTCAGGCATTATAGAAAAGCCTGTTAACTTTGTCTTTTCTGTGGTTTAAAAAAAAAGGATCACAGGTTTATCTTTAGTTGTCATTGCATAAAATGATTGATCTTAGTCTGTAAATTCTTTTTATCAAACATCTTTTTTTTATTGCTAGCACTAATCAGAAGGACCTTTTTTGTTCAGTTGCCTTTATTATAAATGATGCTCCTATTAGTATGTTTTAAAATAGTAGCAATTTAAAAATCATCAAAGGACATATATAGTTTACAAGATATGCTTTATAGGTGCAAAATGGTAGTTATACAAAGTTATGTCTAAAGGGGTTTCTGAACGTAGATTACGCCTAGACAAGAAGTAGATTTTGTTTTTAGAGATGAAGCAGTTTTTGCTTAGATCAAACTACACCTTTGAAGGATGAAAGAGAATAGAAAACTTATGAATGACAAATGGCAAATCGTTAAATCTATATTAATTCATGGGTTTCTTTGTCTCTTGCTTTGTCTAACCAGTTGATCTTGAGGCTGTTTGATATTTGCATTTCTAATGCTGATATATTACAGTTGTAATTTCTCGCTCACTCCTACATAGGTTAGAACTGTTAATATCCAATTTAATGTAACTGGCATCCTCCAAACAAGGAGTTTGCTGAAAATGCTTAGGATTAGGAGTAATTTGTGAAATCAAGCTTTTCTTTTTTGTCAGTTTCAGAATAGGATCCTTTGAATGCTTTTCTTCTGTTCAGAAGTGAAGTTTCTTTATAAGTTGAATGGGTCCTGGTACAAGATGGGGTATTGTTGATTGGGAGAATATTTTGAGTTGGAAAATATTCTTTTTATGGGAAAGAATAATGTTTAGGTCCTTAAGCTTGCCCACTATAATTTGTTTTGACTTATAATATATAGTTGAAGTTCTACATTGTTCAATAAAAGTTGATGAAAAATAATATTACAACCAAGCTCAATAAATAAAACAGAAAAGCAGTATCTTTGAGAAATATTTCTTTCATGCTCGAATGAAGGTGTAATCAAAGGTGATAAAGTGGCAGATGAATAATATTCATGTATATTCTGAAGGGGGAACTAGGTGCTTTCAAGAATTTTAGAGAATTGTGGCACAAGTCTTCAAATCTGCTTTCACCTCAAAACGTACCGCCGCCTTTTCTTGGGTACACATGTATCTTTAGCACTACTACATTGATCGGCCATATTTAGGATTTTTTTTTTTCCAAGTGAAAATGGCAATATACAGGAAAGAGGAAGAGAGATTTTCTTAAAGTAACTGGTAAAGGTTTGAAGAAAGAATGGAAGGATTAAGAGGGTATATGTAAACTCATGAAAAATAGAATGAGGAGCAGTTCACTGAGGTGTAATAGATGTAAGTGGAAAAATAGGAAATGTAGAAAGTGTTCATTTCTCCTAAAGGAGGAAAAGGGATTCTGTGTCACCAAGCTCTCTCATGGTAGCCATAAGATGGGAGTAGCCAGCTAAGGAGAGTTGGATTGCTTTACCAAGCCAAGCAATGGTGACAGGGTGGCCCTAGAATAGGTGGGTGAGAAGAGAATGAGTTCAGTGAGTTCTTAGTGTGCCCAAGGCCTTTTCAAGTCAGGAGGTAGTATGGTATCGTAAAAAGTGCATTAAACCAGATAAACCTGTTTTGAAATTTCAGTTTACCTCCTAGTTATGTGACTTTGGGTAAACCCCAGTTTCTTCATCTGATAAATGGGGATATACTGTTACTATCTTAGAGTGTTACTGTAAATATGAAGTGACGTGACATATGTAAATGTGCCCTGCACATTACAGTAGATCCTCAACACACATTAGTGTCCTTCCTCTCCAGTTTATGCTAATTTCTGAACTTTATAATACAGACTCAAACCTATTAATAAGTGTGGAAAGATACATTTCTCATTAATTGCGTAGAACTCCCATAAAAAAGAACTCAGCATTTTAAGTGCCTTGTGTAGTTGATTAAAAATGAGTAGTAATGCTCAACTTGTCCATATGTTACAGTTCTGTTAACTTTGTCCTCTGAAAACGAGCCTAACTGTCCCCTACATGCCTAACAGTCCCCTTAGCTTAGGTAATGATCGTTGCAAATGTATTAAAATTTGTATTAAAAGCCTATGTGTTTTTTAATTCCTTATTAAAAACCCTGACTCGAAGCTTATCTACTGTATGTCAACTTACAAATTTGTAAAGCTTTCTTTCTAATTGCTTGCGCACAATTGATTTGAAGCATTAAATTAGAAGGCGACAACAAGGAGAGTAAGCTGTCTCTCCTGGGAGACAGGAGAAAGTGATGGCTGGTAATTCATGTTCTTTTTTTAAGTATAGCATTGCTGTTAGGCTTCAATGACTAGGGGTTACCTAATTGGCTATAATTTGAATTACTTTTACACTGCTGAACTAAACATTTTTCACTGGAAATGGATGGTAGGAGTGTGTGTGGGAGAGGGGGAACTGAATGGAGTGGGAAGTTGTATTATGGCCCCACTCAACATTCCTCTTGCTATACCTTCTAGCTTCTCTGCCCAGAAGGATGGAGATGAGGAAGAACAAAACTTGGAAGGAGGAAAAGAATGCGGAGTTTGAAGTCATCTCCTAAAGGGAGATTTAGCAGAAATGGGCCCCAAGGTGGGTGGGTGCCATCCTTTCTTCCTCTCTCCTGTGCTGTTCTAGTTTTTAGCAATCTCTGTTCTGGGTAACTTGAAACTCCAGAAGGAGTGCGATCCCACCTAGTAGCCCTAGGACCTCATTGTCCATCATGTCATGGCTCTTGACAGCTCTGCCTTTTTATACCCTTGGTCAGCTGCCCAAGGTCCCTTCACTTACAAAAATAATGGGTCATCACGAGGAGCTCAGGGTGGCTTATTGTTATTACTCCACCTAGTCCTTTGGCCAATAGCTCCTGGGAATGCAGTTAATTGTTTATTTCTTCTTTTCTTCCAGAGCAGTCTCGCATGTAAGTGGTATGATTTAAAGGAATCATTATTTCTTTCTTCCTCTCTTCTGTGTAATATCCCTAACTCCTGAATTTTTCCGTTAATCGTATAGACATTTGGGTCAAAACGCAGTTGGCTTTTGAAGG